GACGGGGGGGGGGGGCGCTCTTGCCGGGCGTCGCGCCGAACCAGCGCGCCCGAGACCGACTGATGAGAAGACAAATCGGGCTCGCAGGGCGTCCGGCTGAACCCGGCGCGCCTCAGCCCGCCGCAGCGAAAGCAGGCACTACGCAGTCTGGGAGGGGGAGGAGAAAGGGAGCACGGGAGGACAGAGGGGGGAGAGCGAAGGTCCTATACCCTGTGCAAACTGCAAAGCGCCATAGAGCTGCGCGCCGAAAACCAAAAAAAACGCCGAAAACCAAAGGGGGGCAGAAAGCCAAAAGGGCAAAGGGGAGCGGAGCACCAAAGAGGCGCCGAAAACCAAAGGATCGCCGAACACCAAAGGGGCTCCGAAAACCCAAGGCGCGCCGAAAACCAATAGGGCGGCGAAAACCAAAGGGGCGACGACACCCAGAAAGGCGACGAAAACCAAAGGAGCGCCGACAACTAAAGGAGCGCTGAAAACCACAAGGGCGTCGAACACAAAAATGCGCCGACCACCAACAGGGCGCCGAAAACCAAAGGGCGCCGAAAACAAAAAAGGCGCCTAAAGGAGCGCCGAACACCCAAAGGGCGCCGAAAACCAAAAGGTCGCCGAAAACCGAAGGGGCGCCGAACACCAAAGGCGCGCCGAAAACCACAAGGGCGCCCAAGACCAAAGGGTCGCTGAAAACAAGAACGGCGCCAAAAACCAAAGGGGCGCCGAAAACCAAGGGGGCTCCGAGAACCCAAAGGGCGCCGAAAGCCAAAAGGGCGCAGAAAACCGAAGGGGCGCCAAAAACCAAAGAAAGCCGAAAAGCCAAGGGGCACCAAAAACCAAAAGGACGCCGAAAACCATCGATACGCCGAAGATTTAAGGGCGCCGAAAACCAACAGGGCGCCGAAAACCAAAGGAGGCGCCGAAAACCACAAGGGCGCCGAACACCACAAGGGCCCGAACACCACAAGGGCGCTGAAAACCAATGGAGCGCCGAAAACCAAAAGAGCGCCGAAAACCAAAGGGCCGCCGAAAACCCAAAGGGAGCGACGAAAACCACAGGGGCACTGAAAACCAAAGGGGTGTGGAAAACAGAAAAGGCGCCGACAATCAAAGAAACACCGAAAACCGAAAGTGCGCCGACAACCAAAGGCGCGCCGAACTCCAAAAGAGAGCCGAACACAACAAGGGCGTCGAAAACCAAAGTAACGCCGAAAACCAAAAGGGGAAAGGTAGCTTCGAAGCCCACCCATTCAGCCAGGGCCCTCCAACTGGACATGCCAACAGAAGACGGGGAGGGGGGGAGGGGAGCTTCAGAAGCCACCCCCACTTTGGGAAGGGGAGCCCGGGCTGCCCCGGGCCCTGAGAAGGGGGGGGAAAGGGGGAAGGTAGCTTCCAAGCCCCCCCCCCCTTTAGCCAGGGAACCCCCAGCTAGAACATCCAGGCACGGGGGGGATAGCTTCGGAAGGCCCCCCCCCTCCCCATTGGAAAGCGGAGCCTGGGCTTACCCCGTGCCCCGGAAAGGACGGGGGGGGGATCGTCCAAGGCCCCCCCCCCCCGTTTCAGCTGTGCTACAAAATGCCGACCCAGCAGGGTGGGAGAGGGGGGGCAGCTTGGGAAGCCCACCCGGTTTTTCCGAGGGGAGGGCAGCTGGAAGCTGGTGCCCCGCTTTTCTTACTCCAGTCGCTGCGTGGGCGCGCTCACCCCCTCGAGCAGAGCCGCGACCATCTGGCGAACCCGGGCTCGGTGCCCGCAGACCGCGTGCGGACAACATCTCCGCATCCGCGGCCTCGCGGGCCGGGCCCCTGGGCGGCGACCCCTCGGATACGGGGCGTGTCTTCGCGGACGCCCCGCGCGGAACGGACCGGTGCGACCGCGTACGTACGCGGGATCGCGCACCGGCATCCAGACCGCGAGGGCGCGGACACGGATGGGTTCGCCGCTCGTGAACGGATAGCACCTCTGCCCGGCGGCCAGCCCAGGGCGGAAGCGAGAGGGGGCGGGCCTTCCCGGGAGGCTCGGAGGTCCCCCGCGGCCTTCTGAGAAGCTGTCTGAGCCTTCCCCGAAGGCACCGAAAACCTCTCAGAAGGCCAGAGGCCCGCCGCCTTCTGAGAAGGCCTTCTCCTCCTCACTTCCCCCCCCCTCGCTCGCCGCCGAGCTACACCACCACCATGCCTGGCCAGGCCCATGCTGGGCCCTGTCTTGGTGTCCGTATGCTACCCCCTGACTTTGACCAGGAGTGGCGCAAGAACGGTACGCACCCATGCCCATAGGGGGGAGCGGAAAGGGCTGCGGGTGCGCGGTGTCCGCTCGCACGGGAGCCTGCCCCGAGGTCGGACGACCCTCCGAGACCGCTGTGGGTTTGGGGTATGTGTGCGTTGTTCGCTCGTCGAGGAGTCTGAGCACCCTCCTGCGCAGCCCAGGGTGGCCCTGGCCAGGCGCGGCGGCGGAGTGCAGGTGCCTTATTCGGAAGGCGATGCAAGATGTCAGTGCCAGAGCGGCCCAGGGCCACACGGGTGAAAAGTCACAAAACCCAGGATTCCCCATGTTTCTCCAGATGTTCTGGATTTTCGTCTCCCCTCCACTTCCCACCTTCTTCCATCTTTTCTTGGGGGTCAGCGATTATTTATGTCTCCCGAAGTGCCTCCCTCGGGGCGGACGAACGGGACGGTTAGCAACAGGGGGGTAGTGAATGACCCGCATTCATCTGGCTTTTCCGGCGCCGGAGGCGCGAACGCTTGGCGACACGCGCAGAAAGGGTTTTGCGTGCGGGGGGGGGCCTTCTAACAAGGCGGGGGGATTCTTCGAACGCGGGGGCCTTCTTAGAAACGCCGGGGCGCTCTGTGAGAAGACTTCTCAGAAGCCGCGTGGACTGTTAAGAAGCCAGCCCTCTGAGGAGGCTCCCCGCCTTCTCGCCGCCCTTTCCCCCCTGTGTGCGCGCTCCGCCAAAATGCACCGATGAAAGCGCCCGGCGGCGGGGCCGAAACCAGCTGCATGTAGCAATTTTCGGACCTCCCCTTGTCCCCCACGGTGACCTTCTGAACCCATTCGGCGTCTCAGCCCGCTCGGCCGCCAGCCGAACGGGCTCAGCTCCGACAGGGATGTGGGAATGGAGCCCGCTCGGCTGCCGAATGGGTTCGATCCTAATTGCGCTCGGCGGCCGAGTGGGCTCCTACGCCACATAGGGGGCTCAACAAAAAGTCCCGGGGTCACAGTCCCCCTCCCCTCTCGGGTCCGACGAGAGTTAGCGACTCGGCCTGAGCAGCTGACACCTCCTGCGCCGGAGGCGCGCCCGGCGGCGGCGGCGGGCGGCGGATAGGAGGAGGAGGAGGAGGAGGAGGAGGAGGAGGAGGAGGAGGAGGAGGAGGAGGAGGAGGAGGATATGTCGAGGAAAGCGCCCGGCGGCGGGGCACAAGCCAGCTGCATGCGGCAGATGTCGTGCCCCCGCTGTCCCGACCTCTCCCCCACCCCCCCGGTCGTCCGACCGAACTCGGCTAATTACACGCAAGATTGGCCCTGGGCAATTACGAGTGACCTCTGGTGCGCGGCTTCTTTTGGGGGGCGCGGGGATGCCAAACACGAGGGCGCAAGGCGCTGATGTCGCAACGAGCGCGGCGATCGGAGACCCCAGTGATGAAGGGGCCCCAGGACACACACACACACATATAAATACACACAAATAAACATATGCCCTATATTTTCCCATATTTTCTGGGTTCTTGTCTTCCCCCCCACTTCCCATATCTTCCCATACTTTCTGGGGAATGGACGATTCATTGTGTCTGTGAGTTTTTTCCCCTCCTGAAGTGAGCGCGCACCGGCGAAGGGTCACTCTTACGTCTATCACTCTTACGAAGGGTCACTCTTACGACGAAGGCGAAGGGTCTTGGGTCACTCCGGCGAAGGGTCACTCTTACGAAGGGTCTTGGGTCACTCCGGCGAAGGGTCACTCTTACGTCTATAGTCCGACAGACTCCCAGACGCCCGCCCACCTGAGCTCGTCGGTCCGCGGCCCACCGAGAGCCCCGACCGCTTCTCCCCGGGGGGCAAGCCTGCCGCCCTGGATCCGCTCTCGATGGCCCCGAGGCCCGACGACGGGCCCTGGAGGCCCCCCTCGCAAGGCACAAAAAAAAGCCGCGATTGAAAAAGTAGACATCGCCGGAGATACCCAGACCCCCGACGTCACGATTCTTTCACAACGTCGACCCCCATGCAGAGGTCTGGACCCCTTCCTGGGGACCAGTTTTTCATCCTGGATCGACTTTTGACTGTCCCGAGGCCCGGGACGGGCTCCCAGAGGCCGAAGACAACGAAAACCCTCCCGCCGCAATTTTTTCACAGCGCGAGGAGGTTTGGGTATCTTTGTGGATGCCATGACAATGGACACTCTGGCAATCCTATCATTGAATAAAAAATGAGTTAAACATGTACAAAACCTGTTGAAACAATGTTTCAAACATGTTTTTGCATATTCAAAACAGATTTGAAACATCTTCTAGACATCTTGAAATTATTTGGCAGCACGCTTCCTCTCCATTCATCGCCCTCCACATAGGTACAGTCGGGGCGTTGACCTAAGGAACCCTAAAGAAGGAACGGGGCCCCTTCCTCCGATAAGTTGAGCTTCGATTCCCCATGCAAGACCCTAGGAAAACAGAAGGCAAACTGCAGAACAATCAAGGAACACCGAGCCCCTCCCCAACGAAAAGGGTTCCTTCTTCAGGGCCCCGACTGTATCTTTGGACGCCCGACATGGGTACCGAAAAAATGGGTACGATTCCCAACAACAAATGTTGTCCCAAACCAGCAGCGACCGCTGTTGGGCAGGCGGCCTCCTGTCTCGAATGGACACAGGCCGCGGCGGCGTGGACAGCGAGCCCTGTTCAAAATGAACAAGATCTGCTGTTGGGCATAGTACCCATTCTTTCAATACCCATTTCGGGCGTCCAGATCATCGGCCAGGCTCTCCGGCCCGCCGCCCGCGGCGCCCGGCCGGGCCGGGCCCGCGGCGC